ATGAAATCGCGAGTGAATTAATTTCGCGAAACGATAATGCAATTATTTTATCGTCGTGTATAAAACAATATTTTTTTCCATAGCGAGTTACGTTTTAAAAAATATTCAGAAATTTCAAGGAATTTTTTACGATTAGAAAAAATATTGTGCTGGGTTGGCGTTGGTTTCTATGTAATTTGACAAATAAATAAAGCTGTCTCTTTAGTTGTCAGTTTTGAGTCAATATTTTTTAATTCTCTTTCGTGTCGATTGCTGATTGAATTGGAGCCAGAAATGGCTCAAAACGAAATAAGTAAATTACCAACAGATATTCAGGCTGAGGCGACAAATTTAAATCCCGAATAACTTATGAAAAGGAATCCAAAAATTTTTAATAAAATGGAAGCAATTAAAAAACGTGCGAGAAGTAATAAAGTTTTTAACCTATTCTCGCTGTTAAAATATCATTTAATCTACCCTTGCGGTTAAAGTACTATTTTATCTATTATTTTCGCTAGATATACATAAGGCAATTTTAACAGTTGCTGTGGAAAAAAGATATTTTAATGCCTATGCATAAAAAGTGAAGCATTTTTACGCCTAAGCATAAAAGTGCGAAAATATCAACGAGTGTAACCATAGTTTCTCGATATACAGTTACATACAAGGTATTACTTTTTTTTTATATTTTTTGGAACTGCTATAAAATTGTTTAAAAAATTATTTGGGACATTTGAAAAAAATAGTATATTCTATTTGGAGTAAAAATGACTTTTTGTGCCTCGCCTATAATGTCAAACGTACAACATCGCCACAAAAATTATTTTTATTCCTAATAAAACAATATACTATTTTTTTATAGAATATTGAATTCTTGAACTACACAAAACGATTTTATGTTTGACAGAATTTCAACAACTCAATTTCTTGATTCAATTTCAACTCGGTACTGTCGTCAATCAGAGAGATCACGTTTAAGACGTCACAAGAATTAATTAGAGACTTTTTTTTACTCGCAAAATATTAATAAGAAAATAGGAAATACAAAGAAACGTGGCAACGATGTAACAGCTGATTAGATCGCAGCATCCATCTCTCAGGCGACGACGCGGCGCCGGCGGTTCAACAACTTTGCTCTATGACTCAGCTCTGCTGGCTCTGGCCAAAGCTCTGGCTACAGGCTGGGTTCGTTCTTAACCACGGAGGCTCGATGCCCGCAGCCACGGTTTAATAGGCGGCGTTGCCACGTCCGCGTCTGTCTCCCTATCCTTAATCGATTAAGCAATATGGCATTCTCGGCATTCTTTTGTCTGTACGTGTGTTCAACGACTGGAAAGTTTTTCAAAGACTTTTGAAGTCGTTTAAGATGAAACATTTTTTTGTTTTGGGGTATAATAATACGTTTTGTGTCTTTATCTCTGGCCTTGTTCTCTGGCCAAACATTTGATTAATCTACACTTATAATGGACCTGATTAAGTTTAAAAATAAGTTATTGTGGTTTGTTTCTTTGAAGTGGTAGACACTGTTTCAATTGCGTGAAAGCTTGTCTAACTTCCGTTGTCTGTATTTTATAATTTATACAAGGGTATTTTGAGATCGTTATACAGAGCGTTTCTAAAACAAGTGCAAGTTTACTAAGGGATGGTAGCTTTGGACAAAAGAAACAGATTTTCAATTTTTTTAAATAAATTGAAAATATCCGTGTTATTTAATTTTGAAAATCAAAAAAAAATAAATGCAAACATTTTGAGAACCACCGGTATTAACCGTCGGCTGTCAGTTTATTCGATGAGCTGTGTTGCCACACTGACAAAAAAGTATACATTTACAGTTTAGAAATAGTGCATATTTTTGCGAAAGATATTTTTTCAATAATTGTTAATATTTACTAATTCATTTTAGTTCAAAATAACTGTATAATTTATTAGTGTGTGTTAAATAATAGCTGCAATGCGTTTTTTTAGAAAAATATATGCTTTAAAAGTAAATCTTAAATAACTTAAAAACGATTTATTTTAAGTATAGGAATATGTATAATAAAAAAATAACGAATTGAAGAACCTTTTCGCTAAAGAATATATAATAATAATATATGAAATAAAAAAATGCGTTTCTATTTGAAAAAATGGTTTATGATAATTTTTAATCGCTCAATTCCATGACAGTTACGACCAATAATATATTATGACATTCGATCAATTTAGGCTGTATTCCGTTGCAAAACCCGGCAAACCAGACCGGTTAGCTACGGTAAAGAGCGGTTCCTGAAAAATATCAGTTTGATACGGAACGGTTTGGTAAAATACTGGAAACGTCAAATGTTGACGTTTTCTAAATTTCAATATCTCTATTATAAAATGTATCTCTTATGCATTTTTAATGTACCTATTCTCTGCTTTTATGTTTGCTTCTTCTTTTCAATGGAGTTTAATATTGAAAAGTACTTTATTAATAAACTGTTAAACTCGTTAGACAGCTCAAGTGAAGATTTGCAGGTCCGATATTAAAACAGGTCAATAATAAACAAATTTAATCAATATTTATATTTTTATAGCTTACAAAACATTCACGATTATATACTTGTTGTCTTGTTTTTCATGTTTTTTTTAAATGTTCCTGGCTTTAAGAAATAATGGCTGCATGATAAGTTTAAATGGTCCTAAAAAGTCATTCTATTTAGTTAATAAAATTTATTTACCTTTACTGCCTTCCTCGATTGCTTTTGGACGTAAAAATACAAAATATTATTACAAATTTTAGAAATTAAATGAGAATTTCACTCGAACTTCCAATATTTGCTTGATTTGTGTCACATAAATGACATTGATTGACAAACAAAGCCAGAAAAACCAGCCTTCCGTGCTGGTTAGTTTGGTGACAGTTACCTATAACCGAATTTTTCAGGAACCGTGTTCCGTAAGAAGAAAACTTTCAGGAAACCGATAGAAACGGAACATAAAACCATAACCAAGGTAAGCAACGGAATGCACCCTTAATTTCTGAAATAGTAGCCACATGTCCTCTCAATAGCTTTGTTTGGGTTCTGGTTATTACCGATTCTGAACGGTCCTAGAACTCTACAGCGCATGCCCAAATGAAATAATGTCTGAATAATACGCATCACAGTTCTAGGACGGTTCAGAATCGGTAATAACAAGAACCCGAACGAAGCTATCATGCCGCAGTGACTGTGGTAATGACTAAATTTGGCGTTTAGGCTATACAATTTTTTTTGACAGGCAGTTTTTTTCGTCCAAAAATTTTAAATATTTTTTTTTTCAAAAACGGTTAATGTTATCGAGTGTTTAATATCAAAATTCGTAAAAATTTACAGATAATTTAAGTATGTAATAAAAAAATGGGGGTATCCATTTAAAATAAGAAATTTGCTGTCAAATTGTGCAAGTGCGCCGCCATATTGAAAATATTTTTAATCACGAGATCTCGTTGTAAAACAATGATGTGCAAAAAATCTGCGATCTAGATATTGTAGTTCTCTAGAAACTTAGCCTGGGACACCCTGTATATTATGTACTAAAACTAACCATAACTACACAATTTATATTATGAAAAAAAAGTATTTATCCATTTAATATTTTGGTTGGTTTAAACCATAATATACTCAATCTAAGACACATTTTTTTGGAATATTCAAAAAGAAAACCATCTGAGACCCTGAATAGAGATCCCAAGTCTGTTAAATGTTGGTAATGTAAATTAATAGTCTCCAACGAACACGTGCTGTTCATCTTTAATGAAAGACAGGCAGTGTTGTCGGATTTAACCCACAACGCACACTTGCCACTGTATTATCTTTACTAGCGATGGGAACTATCGAATGAATTAGACTATCGAATGGTTACTGAATGAATGATTTCAACTATCGAATGGTTTCATTCAAATAAAATAATTCATTCATTTGTATACTAAAGCATATGTGACAACCTCGCCGTGCAACTAAATGATTATCGTTAAGC